GGTAAAATCCGATATCATGTTATCCGATATGAACTTATGCGGGGTTGTTAAAATCCCGAAGGAAGTTGGTTTCTGGTACGTTTTCCGGTTTACGCTTTCTTGAGGCCTTGGTAGTTGTTTTACAAGACCGCCATGCTGGATCCTCTTATTTCCGGGGGAGCGATCAATGGTGAACATATAGCAGAAGAATACTGCTGGTAACTCATCTTTTATATTTAGAAAAAGATGCCAAAATGATTCTATCACAACATCCTGGTTTCACTCAACATTCCTGACAGTGCCGGGAAAAGAACTACTCCTAGAGCATTTGCTCCAGCGGTTTCTTTGCTTAGTACTTTGTTGTACCTTTAATACATACTCCATGGTGCTACTCGTAATATATAGTTATACGAAAGGTCTTCTTTACGCCATAGCAGTTCTATACTTTCGTCCTCGGTCCGGCTTAACACCACTAATTTCGTTGCTTGGAACTGAGTTAAGCATCTCGGGCGGTGAGGGCAGTGGGGAAAATCGGGTGCTACTTGGCAAAATCTGACATTACTTTCCATCTGATGTTACAGTGATCACCAGAAATCACTCTGTTAGAAAACGAGCGCCCGACTTGCACACTCAGGGTTTATCCTGCCCTTTCTTTCATTTTTGTTACTGTTACTGATTCTGGTCCTTTCTCTAGCATGGGAATAGACCGGAACTAATTCCAAAAGTGAGTAAGATGGGCCTTGCACGAGTTGGCTGTATTGGGGCGTGTTTCTTTTGGTAGGATATTTGTGTTAATAGATTTAACACATGGTACTGTGGGCAGATAATTGTTTACACATGAATAGGAGTGGGCGGACAAAACGCAAAGCAGGAGAGTGCTAATGTTGGTGACTTATGACTTGCTCATCAAGGTTTCGGCTTGTGTGGGCATCACGGGTGCAGCCCAACAAGGGGGTTGTGTGATCACACGAGTGATGCCTTGTGATGAAGAGTTATCGGCTTTTAGGAAGTATCATGTTCTTGATGCCTACTAACTTATTGAAATCTTCATTCCCTCTTTTTATTATTTCAAATGTCAAATAATATGTGGGGGGTATCTGAAAAGTTCTAGCAGGTGGTACAGGTGACTACCCCCATGTATAGGTGATTAGGTTCGGGTGATCTAGGAGCAGGAGAGGAGGCTCGACAGTCATGTATTTCCTTTATCTACAGCACAGCTTTGGTCGTAGCTAGGGAATACGACCATCTCGCCCTATCCCCCACACACATCCGACAAAAAGTTATAACTGGTGAGGGACTGCCCCTAAGCTAGCCCCTATTCAGGCATGGGGCGTCACGGGAGGGGGTTCTTGTATACACAGTTTCAGACAAACTCTAGAAGCATGACCTTTGCTGCAATCACTGCACTACAAAGCGGATCTTATATCCTATACTCGTGATCATCAATTCCCCTCTTTGTTGGAAAAGTAAGTTGGCAAGGCGATAAAATGTGAGGGTGGTTTTCCAGAGTTGATGAATAAAAAGGGTCGGAGGTGCGAAATTTTCCCTATATTACTCTACTATATCTGCGAGCTAGGGATTTCGTGTAATATCGCTCTGGGAAGAAAGAAGTACTTATCCCGGTAGGGCATGTGCTTTTGGAATTTCGGGGGAGAACGGGGTCTTATTATGACTAGATAGTGGGAAGGATTACCAAAGATGACTGTCGTGCAATAGGAAACGAGGATACGCTGTAATACCCTCTGATGCAGGTGTGGGCTGGGGCCGGGCTAATCCGGGAATGTGAGGTCCACAACCGAGCAATCGTGTTACACGCACCGGATATTGTACAGGCGTTCGCCAGCCTGCAGCCAAGATCGCGCTCTCGGGCGCCGACCTCCGAGGGTAATAAAGGCATCAGTAAACCACATACCCATTCCTACCATACAGTAGGGTTGTGATTCTTAACTATTTTTTTCTCTCAGCTTGAGGTACCTTTCATGGCATGGCAGTATAGATCATGTCAAATTGACGGGCTGCTACTATCTTTCTAGGAAATGAGAAAATAGCCCTGCGCAGTGTTTTTAACAACTTAGGTAGGCAAGGCTAGGCAAAATCTGGGCACTAGCCTGCCTGCCTGGACCCTCTTCCATATGCCGCATTGACCGGTGGTATTTGCCTTCCTCTGGTAATCTGGAATTCAGCACGAAGCTGAAGTAGATCGTACGGTACAGTCCGGAATAGGTCTATTTTTGATTATAAATGGTTTGAACGAAGGAATTTTATTGCGACTTATGATAGGTTACAAAGGAAATTCTTGTTTCAATGTACTAGTGGCAGGCGAATTTCGCTTGATATGTTGTAGCCTGGTGGGAGCCTGCGAGCCTCGTACTACCTGGGCTGGGCTGAGCCTGCCCGACCTTTGATGCGTGCTATATAGATCTGACCCATTGACACCACTAATATCCCAGGACGGCATCGATATTGAAATGATTATCTGACTGGACGAACGCGAGCTGGGTATCCTGATGGAAGCGGTCAAGCGGGTGATGTCAGAAGTGATATCTTCCTTGGTTCGGGTTTTCTCGAATCTAACTGATGCTCCTTGCTATCTCTTACTCCAGGCCCTGTTGTGCTCACGAGACAAACCAAGTAGTTTATTTCTGTCAAATAGCCACTAGTAACCTATAGTCTATTTCCTCGTTCCGGAAGACTATGACTCAAATAATTTAACAGTGTGCTGTGCCGTTGGAGCTGCCTCCTCTGGTAAGGTCTAGTATTTTTTTTGTCTCTCAGAGGGGCTGAGGAGCTCGTTTTTTTTGCTGCATTTTTAGCCCCATTTCAAAAAGTAGAGAAACCCCAACCTCATAGCACGCGATTCGATGATTTGAGATTTTACGGTATCGGAGGCAAGGTTGTCTGAATTTGCTCCCTAGCATTTTTCTTGGATCTCCGGGCACAGTAGCAGGATAAGAAATCTGACTCCCGAGTTATAGTTGATGGTGGTATAATCCTGCGGGGGGACAAGGGTGAACATGTAGGAGAATGTAGATGTATAGGCGGCTGTGTGTGATGGTGTTAGTCTGGAGGCATGTGTGAAGGTCAAGGAGGGAGTTATTTGTATGCGGTTATACCCTAATTGTGGTGTTTGTATGGGGCTCTACCCCACCGGAGCTGTTGTCTATATATACGAACCATTAGTCAGCTGTTTGGCGGATCATCGAACGACCACGCCTTTCTACCACCATCAATAGTTTTGTCTAGAGGGCATATCAGTATCCAAATTTTTCCCGGTGGAGTTGTGGAGAGGTTCACATAGTCAGTAGCTCTCTCCTCAGCCAAGAAGGCTACTTGTGACTGGGGTACCCCGGTAGTCGAATAAAACATTCACCTATCATATCGGGTTCGCAAAGTAAACTCTTTAATCTCGTTTTTTTGACGAGTTTTGGATATGTATTGGAACTTGAGTGGATTCCTCACCCCGAACATGTTCGGCAACCAATGCCATCTTCCTCTCTCAACTATGTTTTTCTTTATTAACCCTTTCACAAACAGCGACATATAGGCCCGGGAGCTCTAGTGTTCCTAGGGCCTTAGTCCCTCCGTCCATCTTGGGAGCAGGATTGGCAGACTACAGGCTCGGGGGTCCTGTAAAAAGTGGTAGACTCCTACGCTTAACCTCCGTCGGTTGCAGCACGCGACTAAATATGCCTCTTACGGTGAGGCACCACTTGTTCGCCCATCTACTCGGAAGGTGCGTTCTGATTGTAATGTAAATCCACGGCTTGACCTGACTGCCCATGAATTGCTCCTTTCAAAAAGTACTTCGCCACTTTTTTTTTTTATCGAATCGGGGATATGGCTCCTGCTCTAGTGGTGCCTTCTGGGATTGTGGAGTTGCGCCCAAAGTTGCCATCTCTCGAGGCGGTGGGTGGGACCCGAGGATTCGTTCTTGGGAAGGTCGTATTGGCCGTGCTCACGAATCCTTACCCAGGCGGTTCATGCTACTCGTTTGGTTCCTTGAATGGATATATGTAGCAGATGTGGGATCACGAAACATCACTCGGCCGCACCCTAGTTGTCCTGCATCTTCCCCGGCCGTCCCTTAGCACCTCCTGCATTCCTACCCCTGCAAGTGAAAGCCAACGCCTAATGCTGCGCCCCCACCGCACTAGCCAAGCATGCGCATTCTGAGATACCATTACCCCTGGACAGTCTGGAACACCAGAGGGGCCATTAATGTTGGAGGTATAAGGGTTCGCTATGACTTTGCCACCCCGGTGCAAAATCTCGGTATGCAGTACCCCCAGTGCACCTCCCAAACCCGGCAGCGAAGGGCTCACACTGGCCAATTCTCCCAAGATGGCACCGCGAACGGGCATTTCCGACTAGGAGAGAACTGCGGATTGTGGCTCGCGAGAATCCAACCTCCGCCATGCGAATTAACATGCATCGGGATTGAGGCTGGGGGGGTGTAGCGGTCGTTAGAGGGAAGCGAGGCAGAGCGAAAGTGAAAAAATGGGGGGGCATTTGAGATGTTCCTGTGAGATTCCAATGAAGGGCTGATTGGTATTCTACATCTTCATGCCTGATCACTCGCTAGTTCACCCTCTGCCATCCTTCACGACTGGGATGGGTTAGAATTTGCCTTACCGCTGGCATACCCCCCGCCGCAGGGTGGTCCCCTCGACCCGGCAGCCACCACGCACCGCCGATCGTTTACTAGCGTACGGCGGATCAAAGAATACTCCGTGTAAACCTCAATCATCCGCCTTCTATCAGTTCCAAAGGCTATCGTTGGAAGGGTAACGGCATCACAACTATCTGCGATATATCTACTGTGAATGGTTGCAAATAGTGTTTCCCTCTAACCTGGTGGTGGCAGGCCGGATCAGTTACTTCTGGGTGGGTTGGGACATGAGCGAGAAGTGTCGTGCATGAGGGTCTCCGGGGACTAGCGGTGCTGTGTTGTGTGCTTTTATTCGGTTGGGTAGTAGGGTGGGCTCCGGCTGGGGCTGCACCCTTGGGTACGATAACTAGTCCTTATGATATTCAAGATCCGTAGCTGTGACGCAAGAGTGAGGAAAGGTAATTTTGGGCATGGGATGTGTTATCAGAACTTGAGTTATGTGATTGAGCACTTTACTGGGCTGGGGAAAAGATTACGAATTGACTTGTAGTTGCGGTCTGCGCTCAAGGGGAGCGCTATGATAAGAAGACATTCCATTATCCGTCACTTATCCTATCTAACAGAAGGCCTGTCAGTGTCAAGTAAGATCGACATGTACACTCCGGATGGCCAAAATTTGAAGAACCTGCCAGGTACAACGGGTTATCCGGAATAACGAGTCAAGTTTTGTTGTGGAAAACTTTTGGATTCACAGCATTTCATACGGGACAGCGAGGCATTCGTATTATCGAGATCCGGGATGGAGGGGTTTGAGGGCACAATACAATGCGGGACAACACATATCGACGTCCAGGTCGCGACAAAAAGGACTAATACAAAACTCGTAATTCTAACGCTACTATGCTGGCAAAAATCCGCCCGTCTTAAACTCTGACCGAACCCCACGATTACACCAACACCTTCCTCATTACTAATCCCCGGATAAAGACCCATATTCAAAGAGAAGGACAGGAGTAGGGTAAAAAAGGCAAAAGAAAAAAGGAAATAAAAGGAAAAAAGCGCAATAAGAAAACAATAGAAGCGGGATGCTTTCGGTGCGGAATGAAGGGTTATAAAAGGAAATGAGGGAAATCAAGATTAATTCCCGAACCGAAACCACTTCTTCTTCTTCTTGACTTCGTATCCTTCTTCCGCGACGTTGGCGTTTCCAACGATGGTTAGGAATACCTGATCTGCAACATCATTAGTAATAGCGCGGAATAGGGGAGCAGAAGGGGGGAAGGAACATACCAAGCGTAGTCTGCGAAACGGAATAGTATTGCAATCCCAAAGCCTCCTTGGCCTCCTCCAGTGTCTTGAACACTCTATTAACACCTGTGACACCGCGCTGTGAGGCTCCAGTGGGCGTAATGTCATTCTCGTTTCCGTCCTCCCCGCGCCAGATTGGTATTGAGTAGCGGATCTGTCCGTGGAAAGTCCGCTGCTCAACAACAGCGCCGCGGAACCTACGTAGTACCCAATCCTTCACATTGTGCATTTCCGCCTCTGTACTTGTGGGCGCGGACTTGAGGACGAGGTGGATGTAGTACCCGTCGCTCCAGCGCGTCCGGAGGTCATTGCTGGTACCGACTGCGAGCATTTTCTTGGCCAGGATACCGGCACGTGAGGCGAGGGCATCGGCTTCTTCCATTGAATGGGTCGTCAGGACAAGACTTCTACCCTTCTGAACGCTAGCAAGCGTCTTCCACATGGTACGTTTTGCTGCAGCATCCATGCCAGAAGAGGGCTCGTCGAGGAGGAGGACCGTTGGATTTCCCATGAGGGCAATACCGAGGGAGAGCTTACGCTTGTTACCACCGGAGAGTTTCTCCCCCATGCGAGTTTGGAAAGCCTCGAGACCGACGGCACGGATGACCTGGGAGACATTATGCTCGACATCTTTGACACCACGAATTTGTGCGTAGAAGCGGAGGTGCTCAGCGACCGTCATACGGTCCATCGCATCGAATTGCGGGCAGACACCAAGGTGAGATCTTGCCTCTGCGCGACGTCTAGTAACGGGAATGTTTTCCACAAAGACTTCTCCACTGTCGGGGGCCATGTCACCGCGGATCATGTTGATTGTCGTGGTTTTACCGGCACCATTGGGCCCGAGGAGGGCGAAAACCTCACCACGAGAAACTCCAAAGGTAACGTTCTCTACAGCAACCATCTTGCGTGAGAAGGATTTGGTGATGTTGACTACACGTAAGCCATCGTTTGAGGAGCCGACTCTAGAGATTTCGGCATCGATATATTGTTTCTCGGCAGCCACTCCAGCGTCGTGTTCGTTGTCTGGATTAGTGGTACTTGCTCTCCTCCATGGTATCCCAAGGCGGAAACGGCCGCTGTCCCACCAGAGAAGAAGAAGGAAGTAACAGATCGACTGCACAACGAGATAAAGGATTGGACCTCCATATAAAGTAAGTTCTCCAGGGTTCGTGGCCCATTCCTCGCCGCGACATGCGAGCGAGAAAAGATTCAGCGCCACAAATAGGGTGCGGGCCAAACTGCCGATGGGCAGAGGCAGTGAGAACGCAAAGTGAACAATATTGATTTGGTCATCGACCTCCGAAGCAGGGGCATAAGTGAGAACAGACGTGAAGGCAAGGAAATAAAGTAGGAATAACACAGCTAAACCAAGGATTAGTCACAATTATTTCGAAACCAAGGGCGAACACTATACCTTGACCGCCAGCAACGATCGCGAAAGCACTCAACTGACTCTTAGCCACGAGAGAGACGTTGTAAGCAAACAAGACTGACGCCAGCCCATATAACAAGAGTACGAGGAATACGTATCCAATATGGAACCAAATATCGTTCGTCGCCGCAACATAAATAATTGTGCAGACGACACTAATGATCAATACAGCAGCAAAGTCAAACGCAGTGTAGGCAAGCCACAGCGGGAGAGCCCTCACGCCGTTAGAGTAATGCAAAGCGCGAACATTGTGAATTCGTTCAACAGTAGGGTAGAGTGCGAAGAATGCCGGGAAAGCAGACATAATGAGCCCCATGTAAACAACAAACTGCAAAGTAAGCTCTGTCCCGTCGGGCCAAAAGAAGTCGAACTCGACATATTGTGTGGCAATCTTCTGGCCAAGGAGAAGGTTATCGATTAGATTCTGGGCGATAAGTGCATTCCTAACATTGCCATCACCCCTGAAGGCAATTGTGGCATTTGTTGAAAGATCCCCCCCTCCGAGATAGAGCCCGCCAGGGGTGACGTTGTGATAATTGAGCTTAATGTAATTCTTGAAATCATCGAAAGAGTCGACAAAGTGCAACGAATCGGTCAAGCTTTGCATCAAAGTCTCATTTTGCGTGCCGCCGCCATCGCCGGCGGGGAGCATAACGGAGGCCAAAGTTTCCAGAACCTGGGTGGAGAAGTTGGTCTGGGGTCCAAGTGTGACGTTGAATTTGGTGTTGAAAGTTAGATGCTCCACATCGGCGGTGCTGGTCTGATCTGAATTGGAGCACGAAGCCTTATCATAGTCCCTTAGGAAGATCATGGTCAAGCCGGCAGCAATAATGGGGATGATGATAGCGGCGACGATCGGGAAATAGTTCCTTTTGAAGATGACGAGACGCTTTCGGAACATGACCCAAGTCTGTTTGAATATCCCAAGCCTCTCGCCAGTATAAAGATTAACATCCTCAGATTCCTTATCCGCTGCCTCGGTGCTCGGCGATTGCCTGAGCTGCTGATCTTGAATATCCGCCGTCTCCTCGGCAACCTTGAGGAATACATCTTCGATGGTTGGCCCCGATACATGGTACTCGGTAACTCCAAGCACCTCTAGCTTGTCAACCAACTCACCAGCCGACGCAGAATCGGGAATATTGTAGACGGTTTGGTCGTAAAGTCGCTTGGTCGAAACACCCGAGACTTCCGGAGAATCGCGGGGAACGTGAACTCTGTAACCGCCACCCATTTGGGACTTCAATGCTACAGCAGATCCCTCGCACTTGAGCGTGCCTTTGGACAATATTGCGATATGGTCAGCCAGTAGGTCAGCCTCATCCAAGAAGTGAGTTGTTAGAATGATAGTGCGTTCTCCTCTGGCGGCAAGGATGATATCCCAGATCTTGCGCCGGCTAAGGGGGTCCAATCCGCTCGAAACCTCATCAATAGCACAGACATTGCTGCCACCGGTAAACATGATTGCGAGTTGAAGTTTTCGCTTTTGTCCACCGGAGAGAGTACTCGACTTGGCCTTTTTCTTTATCAACAGATCGCAGTCACGGAGAAGCTGACGGAGAGTTTCCTTGCTGTCTCCTTCACACTTGAGTTTGTTCCAGATCCCGATGTGCTCCTCGACTGTCAACTCATCCCAAAACACGTTCTTCTGCGGACAGACTCCTATGCCGCCCGTTTTCCCAGTATTGATTCGGATTTCACCTTCGTCGACAGCGGCCAGTCCGGCGATGGCCTCGAGGGTGGTTGTCTTTCCGGATCCATTGGCACCGAGAAGGACAAGGACCTGCCCCTGACGGATATCGAGATTAAGCTTGTTCACAGCTGTAACGGTCTCTTTCTTCCCGGCCGCAAGCAGGTTGCCCAAAATACTTGGCTTATACCTCTTGGTGAAACCCCGAAGCTCGACGGCATTTCCGGGGGCGATTAAAGCTGGATTGGAACTCCTGTGTCCAGCTGATTCGGTCCCGTAAAGCCATTTCTCGACGTAAGCAGCACCGAGAGCGAACCCGATGATCTGAACAATGAGGAAAACAAACAGAACAATAGCTGGAACAGTCGACGGTTGGTCGGGCGGGGACCTGGTGAGCGAAGCAGCTTGCTCATTCTTCTCGAAGCGACCGAAGATGATTGCCATCAAAACAAAGTTGGATGAAGGGCAGAGCAGACTGAGAATAACGACAGCACCAGACGAAGATTTGTGGCATACCTGGGCGACAATGCCGATGAAAATGCTAACCAAGGTGGTGGATATTCCTGAGAGCTGTGTCCTCTTAAAAAACGAGGAGGCAAAGATCGAGAAGGAGGCACAGGAAAACCCAGTTAGGATGAACCAGATTAAAATTATAGCAGCGTTCGTCGTAGCGAAGACTCCGCGAGCCATCGTAAGACCCATGAGAACCCATCCGGGAAAGTATACCCAAGAGAAGGAGAGAAAATAAGCCAAGATTCTCGCGCATTTGGACACGCCCATGGACTCGAGAAGGGAGGATATTCCGCGTTCGCGCTCCAGAGCTTGGAAACCGGTTTGATGGTAGATTATACCCACATGGCCAAGGAAGACAGCGATACCAATATATTCCGTGATAGCGGTCATGTAGCTGCACGATAGAATTAGAATTGTAACATGACAGGTCTCGATAACGCCTTACTCTCTACGGATCTTGTCCTCACGCTCTTTTTCTGACAAAGAGGTATACATGTATTCATCGACGACAACATCCCCGCTTCCCCGACTAGCCCGGTTGGCAATAGCCCTATCGATAGCGAACTGCAAGGGCATCAAGAACCTAACCCAAGATTAACCTCTGGTGGAAGAAGAAGCCACCATCATCAGTGGGGGGACAAATAGTAATCTTACGTCTGAACGTCGTTGTCGTGATCTTTAACATTGACCCTACCACCACGTATGGAACTGTCGGCCCTGAGTGTGTAATTCCAAACACCATTGTCCGAACTAGCAGGACTATCGTCGAAAACGGCGGCGGAAAAGCAAGGCGAGCTCCCCCTCAGGGTTTGCTTGCACTCGACCCGCAAATCCTCATTCCTCTCCAATATGACCACCTCTATTCCCGCGGCCGTCAAGGGATTCGCGATCCCATCAATCAAGTCCCTAACCTCCGATCCGAGATTGTTGTGGACAAAAGCCAATTTCTTATCCGAGTGGGCAAGTAACTCCCTCTGCAGGTCCTTGACATGTGCTGGTGTGCCGATACCATAAGTTGCGGGCGGAACAAACAGGTTCCTCGCAAACGAGATGAAGCCAATGAAGATGACGGGTAGCAGGGTAGCGCGAAAAAATGCGGAGAAAAAATGGCGTAGAAGTACTATTCGGACATTCTTCTTCCATAACGTCCAGGTCTGGCGGCCCAGATTCCCCATTGCAAGGGAGTAAGGAAGGAAGTAAGTAAGGAAGGGATATTTGCTGAGAGAGTGTGACTATTAGTGATGGGGCTTAAAAGGGCTAGCTACGATACCGGTAGTACGCTATAATGTTGGATTAGTTGGGGATGGGTGCCTTTAAGCGGTGGTTAGGTTTTGGTGAGGTGGGGTGGGTAGGGAGGGAAGGGGGGGGGGGAACTAGGGCACGGGGGTACTCATAGCAAGGTGAGAGGTGAGCAAGCGGTTGGTTGGCTGTGCTCTTTATTCACATTATATGCTCGCAGGAACAGATACCCCTCGACCCCAAACCACCGATAGGCAGCGTAATAGCACTTTTAAGCGCAGCGGTCAAATGTTCGGCGGGGCGCAGGGGTGGTGCCGCTACGATGAGGGTCAGAACTGACAGGACACTCGCTGGGGCGCCTCGCTCGTATTACGTGATGTATGATATGGCAATACGGTAGGAGGGAAGGGTGCAAATTGAAACACCGGATCAACGCAGCGAGACGAGGTTCTAGCGGAGAAGCTTGACTTCCTCTCGGAAGCCCTCCGAAAATCGGCACAATGATGGGGAATTGTACAATACTGTACCGTGCTGTACCAGGGAGCTAGTACCGTACAGTACGGTACTAGTACAGTATCGGGAGCCGGATTGAGGGACGCTGATAGGTGCGATGGGTTGACCGGGTGGCGCTGCAGACAATGGATTCCCCTGTCCCCACCTACGTCCGCCTCCCGCAGACTTCTCGGCGATCAGCCGCAGTATGGGCGGTGAGGCGGTTGCGATGCCCGCTTCGTATTCCCCCCGTTCCCTGGGAGGAAGTTTGGAGGGGAAGAGCAAGCACCGACAACGTAGAGCCGTTTCAGGACAGACCTTATCATCGTGCCATGTACAGTACTCGTACATTACAGCACAGAGTGCCCAAATCGACCGGCACGATAGCCAAGCCAGAAGTCTGCAATAGGGAACGAGATGAACAAGGGCAACTCTACGGCAACGGTTATCTTGGAGTGATCTTTTCATATCACCTCCCTTCTTTTCTTTTTTTCTTCTTTCTTTTTTCCATCACTGTCCTTTTTTTGACGGTTACGAGTACGGTACCGGTACGAGTACTGTTCGGGTATGATACGGTACTCGAGGACTCGTGCCGTTGCTTGTGATAAATTTACCCTAATGATAGGGCATGCCGGGTTCGCTTGGAGCAATCGGAGACGCGATGAGCCATAAGTTAGAGATCAAGGCGTTGGATGTCTTGGGCACCATCGAGTCTTGTCCGGCAAGGCACTCGACCCATCTGTCCCCGCATACGGTATTGGCCCCCTCCAACCCACCCGAGCAGGTGGCATCATGCAGAGAGAGCCCAGCCAACCAGCAGCCGGGAGTGTCGGTCACCACCGAGCTTTTAAGGTGTTCTGTGCTACCCGCGTGGGGCTGTGCACTGTATGAGAGTACAGTGTATTATACCGGTAACTTTATCTTTAAAGAAAACCCTATTTGGGCAGCCAAGATTCCCGACATCTCACAAAGCACAATTCGAATGGGTGGGAAGAGAGGAAGCACCCTCTGCTACCGGTATACGAATACGGTACTGCCCCGCTGCCGCATGGGTGACGCGTCTACTCGAGTCTGCCCTCTGCATATATTCTCGGGATCATGAATCTCACCAAGGAATCAGAATTCCTCCCTTCGCCCACGCCTCTCCTATTGTGGTGGTTGGTACTTCTCTTGGCGCCCGTCTGGTCAGCTTCAAGCACCCCATTTCCGGTACGAGTATCATACTTGTACGAGTACAGTACCGTACCAGGATAGTGCTGCAACGAGAGGCCAATGCTAACTTAGCCTCAAATATCAACAGATGCTCGCTTAATAGCGGGTCCTGTTCCGTCCGAGTTCCTTGCATCGAATCATGGCTTCGATCGTCTGCGCCCCACGAGATAGTGTGGAGAGCATTTCCACCAATCTCCTCAAACTGTGGCCGTGTCGAAGGATGCAATGCGAATGATTGATCGCTTGGAGATCTGGAATATGGTGTGCCGGAATGGTACCGAAAGATACGGTGCGTTTTGCCGTACCGTATTGTAGGAGGGTTGTAGAGAGGGAGTTGGAAGACGGGACTCCCTCCGAACCCTGAAATCAGACCCGGGAAATCATTCGGCCGCCCCACACTCGTGGTAATTCCTACATCCCCCATCTAAGATACGGTAGGCTCAAACCAGAACAGCAGCAGCCGGTAGAAGCGGCAATCCTGCATTTCGTTGGCGAAGCTTTAAATCAAGCACTTCTTGGCAATCTTCAGCTGCTACTATTTTGGGCCTTTGGTCCGGATCAGGCGCTCACTACTAGTACTAAGCCCTTCTATCGTCATATACAAGCCCACAACCCAAAGTCCCCCGCAGCGGGCCTGTCAACGTGGTGTAGAGCATACGGTATATGGTCGAGCCGGGCCAAGTCATATCACCGGGAGAACTGGAACTGGACCTCACGCGAGGACGTTGGAGTTGCCTCTCCTAGCGTGGCCCGTTGTATTTTTTTTCTTTTTATTCGACTCAGCGGAGGGCTGAACGGCGGCTTTTTTCTGGCTGATTCCTCCCCTCCCATTATCCGGAGAGGGGAATTCTGGACGCCCTGTCACGGGCCTCAATCGCTCCGGTTCGTACGGTACTCCCTTTTTCCCCCAATTCGCTTTAGAGATTTCGCTGCAAGGAATACGGTGGCTCTTCTTGAGTTTCCTGCTCACGCGACCTTGAATGTATTCTTGGACATTCCGTCCTCGTCCGTTTAGCCTTTGGTGTAGAGGTGGAATGACTTAAAGTGCAGAGATTTCTCAATGCGCCGCCAAGGGTGCCCAACCGATCCCCAACGGATAGGTGTCGGAATTTCTAGTATTCGGTGGACAAGATGGAAATGCAGAATTAACGAGGCACCCAACAGTCGAGTGATAGATCCTCCGCCCAGGGGGATTAGCGACCCCAATCCAATAAGGCTCTACCCGGAAAGTGAGCTAGGCTTGGGGACACGCGTCAAGTGTCGTACCAGGTCGCCTCGCCCTACGCGGCTGTGCTCGTCACTCGGCGCAGCCCCCGCAGCCACGAGTGAGATGCCGTGACGTCTACTGCGAGTGATCCCTAGTGCGAGATTCCACCCCACGTAAGATAGGAGGAGCCTTGGGGAGTTGGTGTTTGAAGATATTTAGCGAATCAAAATACACTTCCCGGAATGTTGTTTCGCAGAGTTCGTGGGGCACCTCCGAGGACATAGCCCGCTCCGTGGTGTAGGAATGCGACAGCAAACATAGATTTAATGATGCAGGGAGAGTGGAGTTTGAGACGAAAGCTATGCGTTGTGGGCTTAAACAACTAGCCGTGTTGTGAGATCATGTGTGTCAAGGGATCATCGTGTTTTGTCTTCCTTCAACCCGTCCTTTCTCTCCCCAAAACATGTGTGTTCGAATCCTGGTCAAGGGTGAGAAACAAACAACCAAGTACTGTGAATAATCGCCCACCAGTAGCTAAACTGCGCTACCTATGGGCCTCAACGCACTTACCGGTGTTAGTTTGCTCACATCTATCTCCCTGTTGGCTCGATCTACTACGCAGATACCATACCGCAGCATGATATAAAACTCCCTGCTCTGACTAGCGAATTACAGACCAAGTAAATACGAGACCCCTTGGGAATATGATGGGTCGGCCTGCCTTGATACGGAACCAGGATGTACGTCACGTAGGTATATCACAAATAACTCGCACAGAAGTATCCCTTTAGCGGTTCGCCCAGCACTGGCGGGGGTGCCCTGGAATAAAATTGTTGGAGCCACGGAGAAAATCCCCGTTTCCCATGAGGGTCATTAGATTGACGATGATAGGGAAAAGCTCTCTGTCCTCTCGAGAGGAGTCTTTCGTCACGATAATTTCCAAACCCTCCTACTCACGGATTTACATTCAGACTAAAGGGTTGTTTGTGCGCATACCAAAAAATAGCGCAAGGTGCATGTGCTCAGTGACTGAAACCGGCCACGTCTGAACAGCCCATGATGGTTTACGCGCAGTATGATTGTTGGGGGTCGGCGGGTAAGAAAATATCCTGGCCCCTTACTTTGATGTCATCTTTAGCCTGGCCGCTTCTATTGTTGTGCCTTCCCTAGTTGTTCGCTGTTCCCTAAGAAGTGCCTCCCTTCAGAATGAAAGCCCGCCAAAGAGAGTAAGCTTGAGCGATACATACTATTGTCTTGTTTCGCCCCTTTTTGCACGGCCTCTATTTTCACCTCCTTCATGATTACACCCTCACTTTTCAGAATCTGCTCATCAAATAATCTGACGTTGGAAGCAAAGGAATATTCCGAAATTCTCCCCTTTCTACTCGATGGTATCTCTCCATCTATTGCGCTTTCACTAAGCTCCTTGCTTCAGCGGAGCTCTGATGAATTCCGCCTCCCGATGCCTGGAAAACATGGTGACGGGCGCCGGTTTCACAACATCTCTGCGGGGGCAGACTCTCGATATGAGAGAGGGATCGGGAAGGCATTCTCCTTCGTGTTAATGAGGACTTTCTGTCATCAGACGGCGCTTTCAGAGAAGTGCACTTTAGAAACTGAGCCTTAACTGGTTATATCAAGGGGTTTCCTCCTTAGACGTCTCCTGCATCCTGAGTCTGCTTTACTCTCGCCCATTTACAGGAATAAAAAACTCACTTGACCAAAAACTTAAGGAGTAGCTCCTTAGTGGTGGCACCCATTTCAACTCTTCATGCGGTCTAGAGGGGTCTAAAGGACTACAAGACAAACTCCTCAAAATACGAGGCATGAAGGCATTAGACCAAGTTAGGATTGTGTACGATGCTGAGAACTGATAGATACAGAGTATGATACATTACAGATCCTGGAACAAAAATCTGGCCCCTCGCGATGGTTCTGATTCTACGGCTCCTACCGCAACTGAGAACACCGGCGAAGACTGTCTGATCTGGGAAAATTGGGCGAAGAAAGGTACATATGCTGTGCATTCCAGATGGTTTATGGGGGTAGAAGGGGGAATGTTAGGCGGCAGGTTGTTTTCTACCCTCGATAGCTTCGTTAGGATTTCACAACTAAGGCCCTGTAACCATTTGGGCATAAACAATAACCCGTGATTACTCGACGGTACCACGGAAGATAGAAGTGTAAAGTATTATAGCCCTCGGGTCCTTTCCAAATGATAGTGTCTTTTTCTCTGAACAAATGATGTAACGGTCAATTATCTTCCACCTGAAGACTGGCGGTATGTATGTCACATCATTCCAATGGCACATTCGACCGGTTGGACTAAAAGGTCCTCACCCAAGCCGATACGGTCCCCGGACGGACCTCACTCCCCGGCTGCAACCTCAACATTCTGGTTAGGGCCTAACTCATTCAGGATTACGGTCCGTAGGAACCGCCTAAGGCGTGACCGAGCCGTGGTCACTCAAATTAATCTCAGCAAACACATTGCTGTGTGGTAATGGAAGAAAAACTGGCTCTCTTTCCCAGCCATGGACGCACAATGGTCCGGCAAATTCCTGTAAATTGCACCCAGCTTTAGAAGGGTTCTTGGTGACCTTCCAACCTCTGATCTTTTGTTTTTCCGTCTCACATCAGCACTCAGTCGGACCCATCGTAACAGCACCCTCATCAGATATCACTCGTAATCTTCCTCGGATATCGTCATGCAGCCTACCACAACCTGCGTCAAAAAGATGTCTGTGCGTCGTGGTCTGACATCTACAATAGAGTTCTTGTTTGTTTAAGGGGTTTGCATATCCATCCTATGATATGGTGGGTACCGTCTAGACACGGCACCTCGATGGATGCAACGGGGGATGCCTGGGCATTCAATTCCAAGGAAAAAATCATGGGTTTAGGCCTGCATTGTCTATAATGTCTTTGTATATTATTATCGTTTATTAATCCAAGTACAGAAAGTTGACTTAAATAAGGTGGATTAGAATCAGAGTATTAATATAATAATGTTGTGTTATGGGGGTAGAAAATATTCAAAGTGACCTAGAAATTCAAGCCTAACCCCATGATTTTTCCCTAGAATCGAATGCCCAGGCGTCCCCGGTTGCATTCGTCGAGGTGCTGTGTCTACACGGCGCCCACAATAGAAACGGGCTACTTCTGCCGCCCGTACCCGCATACTTCGTCTCTAGTTTAGACCAAATTGCGAAATGCTCTGGTATTCGTCCTAGGTGCCATTTGATTACATGTGGGGAACAGAGATACTGATGCGGGTAGGGCAGTTGTCTTTATATCGTATCATACCGATTGGCGTTTTGATTCCGACAGATGTGTTTAGTTTAGTGTGTTGTTTTGTGCCGGGCTTTTGGGCATAGGGTAGGGCACTGGGCTTAGGGATTTGTGTTGCCACGGTTGTGGCTTGTTCGGGATGGTGGTGTGATCGCTTGGCCGGGATGGCTGTGGGGCGTTCTCTGGCTTTCTCTGCATTTGGTTCATTCGCCGTGGGTCTTGGAGTTTCACCTATTTTCTGGAGATGATAGCTGTGGATGTATATAATTTATATCTCCTGATCTGTCCTTTTAGCTGCCGTAGCATCTATCGATTAGCTAGAGCAGCTCATCGTTTCTCACGTTTAGCAGTGCTTGACCCACCAAGCCTTTGTGCGTTCTCTTATCACGTGTCCACGCTTGGGCTCGACGCGTGGAACAGGTGCTCAAATATACCTAGGTAAACGTGGAACTCATACCAGTCCAAATCAAGGTAGAACTCCGCTTTTGGCCCTGAGGCTGACGCTGGCGAACAACGGTTGGATGCCGCTCAGCCCTAGGCTCTCCAATATTCGTCGAACCTCGATTGTGATACACCTGATTTACCAGTAACAGCCGGCTAAGATGGGTCCATCGGTTAGTTGTTCAGGGTGAGCTCCATACTATCTCCACCGTTATGGTATTGGCACAGCGCTGTACGCCTACATCGACAACGGAAGCATCTGCCCAGCGTTCACATACGAGTATATATCTGCCGCCCGCTTCCCCCTGAGCCTTTCTCCTCAGCTTCGACAGACATCAACATGCGTCCTGCAAATTTCCTCATCCCGGTTCTTCCACTCGCTCCTCTTACCTCTGCGTGGGGTATGCTCGGCCACAGAACGGTAGCTCTGCTGTCGACCCGTTATCTACTCCCCGAGACTGCTCAATGGGTTCGTGAACTCCTCGGCACGGAGAGTATTGTTGCCGCATCGACCTGGGCGGATGGTTTCTCCCATTCTAAGGACGGCCGGTACTCTGCACCGTGGCACTGGATTGACGCGAAGGATAACCCACCACACACCTGCGAAGTCAAGTACTCAAGAGATTGCAAGAAGGACCAAGGCTGTATTGTCTCCGCTCTCGTTAATATGGTATCATTCCTCCCACCCTTTACCCCTCCCATTCGCCGAGGATGAATGATGAACTAATGAAGAGATGGAGAGATAGACCGGTAGAGTCACAAATGAAGGGCTATCCCGCTACGAGCGCACCATGGCGCTGAAATTTATTATTCATTTTATCGGCGACATCCACCAGCCCCTCCACACCGAAGACCTCCTTCGCGGCGGCAATGGAATCAACGTGACTTTCGATGGTAGGGACAAAAACCTTCACAGCGTGTGGGACTCTGCCATCCCCGAGAAGCACATAGGGGGAAACGAGGTCCGGCACGCTGCGACGTGGTCGAATAGCCTGCACACTGAGATCGAGACGGGCAGGTTCAATGACCCTTCTATCAAACAGAGTTGGAGCGGGTGCATTGATCCGACAACACCGCAGAAGTGTGCCCTTGTGTGGGCCAGTGGGAGCAACAGATGGGTGTGTGATTACGTCTTACCGCCGGATTATCCTGAAGGGTTTGAGGGAAGTGAGCTAGGTGGAGAGTATTATGATGGCGCGGTGGCGATTGTGGACGAGTTGGTTGCACAAGCAGGGTGGAGACTTGCGGGATATCTGAATATGATTATTGCGGGAGAGACTGGGCTTTCGACTGGCATCCGGTCAGATGGTTTTTGGGATCAGAGTGACTTGAACCGTGGGCGGGAAAGACTTGAACGGGGAGATAGGGAGACTAGAGCGCCTCCTCGGGGACCAAAGAAGCTTATCGGAAAAATTGGGGGGTGGTGGGGCAATTTGAGAGCCGGAGAGCTTTGAATAGTGTTTGGTTACAATCTATTTTTCGTTTCTGTTGGGCTATCAATTGTTGTACTTTAGGATTCTGGTTGGTTTCTGGGGGACTCGGTTCGGGTTAATTTTGGCCTTCAATCGAAAGATCTTGGTTATTTGCTTTGAGTGGTCATCTCAACCCAACCCAACTTTCACGCTTGTGAGTTAGGGCTGAAAGTGCAATTAGGTGCGGTATGATAGCCTCACCAATGGCGTTTGGGCGTGTGTTATGCGGACGGGCTATCGCTCAAAAAACGATGAGTAGCATCTAGTTCAGCTGAAATGGCTGGAAGCATCGTGCTGCAACCATGACCGCATCCTCTCCCTATAATTCAACCGTACCAACGATCTACGATATTGGGAAAACATGAGCCGCTCCAAAACGACATTCACGATCCCTCGCAAACAACTTCCGGCACAGAATATCACCTCCGCTCCCCCGCGGATTTCGCAAACACCGAGTCTAACCATGATAGCCCTTAATCCTTTTCAACTCCCGAACACCCATCAGCTCCCCCCCCCCTCCGTTAACCCCTCCACCTGGTCACACCGACCTTCCCCAGCGCCTTCTCCCCCCTCGCGTTAGGGCACAAATATTGCCCCTACGCAGCATCGCCTTCATCGCCTTGGAAAAGCAAACACGGGGAGTTGGAAGTGACTGGTGAGTACACGGGTTGTATGCATCATAAGCTGACACCGGCACGGCTGTGCGTTGAGCCTTCGGGATGTGGATGTCCCGGGGCCGGGGAAGGTTTAGGGATTTGGAGGAGGGGTGCAGATGTTGGATGAGGGTCTTTTTTCCCTCTCTCGAGTCATTAGTTCCTAATTTGGTGGTTTATAAACGGGGGAGCCCAATCTTCCCGAGTTGTTGGATGTGTGTTGGGTTAGATCATGGTAGATCATTCGTGTAGAAATTTCCTGGCTGATCGGTTCGGGGATTAGGGGAGGGGAGGGGCCGCCCTCCCTGGTTGCGGTTGGAAAGAAAGGGCTGTTTCAGGTCGAGTCTGTGGCGTTATGGCTGGCTGGATTCGCTGGTTCCCATCGTGATATGTGGGCGGGTATGATATACTACATTGTGATATGTGCTTTGGAAAATTGTGCTCAGTTTTGCTCGGAGGTCGTCCCGGGGCTGAGCGTATGATATCAGAATCGATTACTGAGGGGAAATGTACGAGCGCTTGTCTTTTGCTAGTCGGTGTTTATTTTTTTTATATTTAGAATCATCATGGTGGTTTGTGTTCTACCCCGGGAGGTGCTATAGTCCAGGTGAATTTGCTGCCACCCAAGATCTTTCGATTTCGTGGTTACCCTAGAGAGTAAGTTAGCACGGCCAGAAGTATGGTACTGGTGTAGTATCGTATCATGCCCAGGCGGTATGTTAAATTATAATAAACCAGGACCGAGTGTCCGAGACCGGCCGGGAAATGATTCATACACACCTTTTCTCAGCCGGGTAAATAAATAAATAAGTAAACCCACGTCCCCTCTCCCCCTCTGTGGACTTTGGAATCACCGCCCGTGTACTGCATCAGAAAAAAGGTGGGAAAATGCCTGGGTGTTGTATGTCTATACGGGGAAGTGATGTTCTAATGTAGTTGCATTCATCGTATGTTATACTACTGCTCTATGCACGATTTTTTTAATTTTCTTTCCTAAAAAAAGGTCTCTTGATCTGGAAGAGTAAGCGCTGTCTTCACAAATAATGACTCGATGGGGTAGTTTTAGGGGCAGCATGAATATCATATCGATGGAGCTTAGAGTGCTGAGTTTTGGTTCTCGTGGTAGAGGAATACCCCGATATTAACTGGGAGAAAGGACCTATTCTCGAGCAGGTTTGGGAAGAATAAAGGAAAAAATGAACGTGACATTTAGAATGTGTCCCTTGCTCTACCCTCGCTGTCAGTTCTAAATAGCGATTCTCGGGGAATGCCGCTTCCCCTCCACAAACTCGCTTTGCATCCTCGCTGCCGTTTCCTTCTTTCCCGGGCCGATGATGTAGACGTCTATGGAATCATAATTTGTCCAGGGAAACTTTTTTCGCCTTCCAGTAATAAGTCCGTTATATTCCTGGAATCGTATTAGAGGGTAAGGTGATTAAAAGAAAAAAAGGGGGGGAAACTTTAAACTGGTGCTGGTTACAAGATACTGGTGACTGCTCATGTCGTCCTTGCATTTGGAAACTCTTTGGAGAGGTGTCTGTACAGCCATCACCTTCGTCTAACCTGAGACTACTGTCGATGGCTCTGGGGCGTGGATAGGGATTTACCGTGGACTTGTCGCCGGAGAGACTCAGGTGAAATTATTAAAAAAATATCGCGGCTTTCCTATTCACGTAGAGCCTCTTGTTATTAGGTCTTTGATTGGAGTTTAAGATATTTATTCCCTCTCCATGGATGGACGGGGTTGCAATCATGAAATATCACTCATACAGTCCCCTCCTGCCTCGATGATCAGCGATCCATCATCCTCCCCCTCCTTCCCCCGCCACCACTTGTGCACACGCCCTCCGGGCTGTTGGGGCGATTACGGGGCCCGGGATGGATGTTCATCAAAAATTTCCCCTCCCCCTTCATTTTCCGTTGTATTATATTCTTCTGTCCCACTAGGCATGCTAGGTGTGCATTGTGGTTCTAAGATGGTTGGGCTAGGGCAGAAAGAGGAAAGAGATCTGATTAGGTGGGTTATTAGATTAAGCATTTGGGATATGTTGTATGATATCATATTATACCTCGCGCTGCCGATCAAATTTTATAGTGAGAGTTACCCTTTTCCGGTGTTATACCCTACAGCTGGAATTACGGTGCGGTATCAATTGTTTGCAATACGGTAAGGTAAATTAGCCGTACTATTCGGGGACCGCGGGGAGTTAAGGTTTGGTAGGTAGGTGTGTGACTAATGGCTAATGGCACCATAGCATAATATTGGTATGCCGGCCTCGAGCTTTCGGGATCAGCCAACCCCCTTGTGCACAGCGCTCTACTGCTGTCGCGGATATTGTAGGTGATGGTATTTTAGTCTTGGGAGCGATTTCTTGTTAATGGCCCTGAGCGTGACAGAATAGGGTGGTATGTTTTAACCTAGTTTCCCATTCTTATGGCGCCCCTTCTGTCCAGTTTCCGATACATTTATAGGATGTGCTGTTAATTGCGTTGTTCAAAGGATAGCGGAGGAAATAGCCTTGATGCCTTTGGCATTTATAATGGGAAATGGCTTTCTCAAAATCGGTGGATAGGCGAGTAGCGGGGGGTGAGGGGCTGAGATAGGGAAGAGAAAAGGTGGGGGTAAAGAGAAAAAAATAGCCCTAACTCGGTGACCCACGACCATAAATTCTTCTTCAATAATCACTGCGATGCACCCGCTCCCTAGTGTATAGTATGCGTGTCTGCACCCGTTTTATGTCTATATCTATGGAGCTTCCATCCACCCCTCTTGCGATATAACACGATTTCTGTCTGAGTTACGCAATAATATGGGAAGGTAAAGTGAATCATGACAGACACGGGATATCTTGAGGCAATGGACACGAGAAAAGGAGGCAATCAAAGGGGTGTATAGGAAAGCGCCAATAGACCCCGGATAGGATCAAGATCGATGAGACAAATCCCAAACCCTACAAGGGAGGACCAATGAGATAACTAGACACTCCGGGAAAATCATCAAAGTGTTTGGTATTCGCAGTAACTTGTCAACCCGCACATGGAGGACCGGGAGCCGATTGCGACAGGCTTAGTATTTTGCTTCGCCAGATTTGCTGCATTGCTCGGAGGCTATGTCTAGCAGGTGCGGGAGAGGTGTTGGGTTTTACCCGTGGATATCAAAACCTACGAGCCCTTTTGGGAGAGGGTTCGAATAGCTCGGGAATTTCAGTGGAGGGGAGCTCTGTTGATCGCAGGATTCCCGCGTGTCTAGGGATCAAATCTGTCCGCTCCTGCAGCAACTTTGCGATTCTCTCGTGTCCATTCCTGGTAGCCCACAAAAGCGGTGTTCGGCCATGTTTGGTGTCAATTGTGTTAGGATCGACGTCGTTCCGTTCTAGCAGTCTCCTCACGATCCCTTCATGCCCGTTCTCGGCGGCCCACGAGAGCGGCGTTCGGCCATATATCTCATCGGTTATGTTTGGGTCAACATTGCTATGCTCTAGTAGGATCCTCACGACTCCCTCATGCCCATTCCTGGAAGCACACAAGAGCGGTGTCCGATCATATATGGTGTCAGTTGTGTTGGGATTGATGTCACTGCGTTCCAGCAGCATCCTCACGACCCACTCATGCCCATTCTGGGCAGCCCACAAGAGCGGTGTTATGCCGGATACGGTATCGGCTGTGTCGGGATTGATGTCGCTCCGTTCTAGTAGTATCCTCAGAACCCTCTCATGGCCATTCTCGGAAGCCCACGAGACCGGTGTTCGGCCTCCAATATCAGCTGCGCCAGGGTTGACGTCGCTCCGTTCCAGCAACATCCTCACGACCCGCTCATGCCCATTCTCGGCAGCAC